GGCTTCAGGGTACGGATCCCCTGCGAGAAACGAGGGACTACTACTCCACTTTATGTACTTCCATTAGCTATTGAGATAGGAACTGTGCTTTATAGTCATCAAACATTTTAATTATGTTTTAATTATGTTTATGACACAGTCTGATAATTTATTGTAGCATGTGATTGCAAGGACAAACCGTTCTGATTTAGAGTAAAACTAAGTTGGACTGACATCTGAAATATTTGATGACTGTATGTTGCCTGTAAACACAACAAGGGGGACACAGTCACCACTGACGATAAGTCATGCGCTACATAAATATCAGCAGGGCATGTGGACGTGCATGTGAATTATACGTGTGGTGAAATCAAGCTCAGCCCTGCAGCTCATAGAGACTTGCTGCAGCTTCAACTCTGCTTTTCTCAGGTTTCACATGCTTGGCTCCTCATAAACATACTCCCCTTTTCTCTCCTGTCAGAATGAAGCCATGTCCCACGAGAAGACAACCGGGGGCAGCATGTCAGAAGGGGAGCTCTTCAAAGCAGAAATGGTCTTTATCAGGAACTTTGTTGAAACAGAGAAAGCAAATATAATTCAACAGGAAGCACAACCTCAAGTAAGTACCACAAGAACCCCCACAGAGGTCTGTGATGTCAGCAGTTGATAGTGTAGATTTAAGTACAACGTTTACAAATTTGTGTATGTGAAGAAGTTAACACTCAGGTCATAGGATTAAAAAAGAAGCAGTTATTGTAAAATATGTGAATTTATTGGCTTTCCTGTCTTAGTTTAAGAGCTTAAGTTCGTCATTTTGGTAAATGGCAACTTTGTAGTATTTTTACTAATCCGCACAACTGACAGACCAAGTAACAAACAGGCTGAATAGTAAAGTCACAGGGACTTTTAGTAAATTTGAATATAAACCTTTTTAGATGATAGACTTCATAAAAAACTCTGTTTAGTCTCTGCAGGATCACAGGAACTTCTCTCAGACCAAAGCTCCACCATCAGTCAGAGCTCTGTCTGAAAATACCCCCAGCCAAGTAAACGTGGGGACGGTCTCCATGGAAACAGCTGTTGACAAACGCAGGGGCATTTCCCAGCAGCGGTGTCACAATGTCTCTGGACATTCTGAAGATGCACTGGCTTGCTCTGCACACACGGCATCTGCCCCAGAAGACAGAACAAGTCCCACCGACTGGGCAGACCTGTTCCCCACCCCGGCCTCATCCAGAGAGTCCATCCTGACTTCCCCGGCTCCTTTCAGCCGAACGGTTTCTCCTTGCTCGTCTGTTCGCTCAGGTGTATTTTCCCCTTCTATAGTCCAGATCAAGAGGCACACACTAGCTCCTGGAGCTAGCCTGGTTAACATCCCCCAGACCTGCTTCTCATCCTGTGACAGTCTGTCATCTGCCTGTCCACAGTCACCCCCTCCCCGGCACCGACCTCCAGTCACTCGACTTTCCCTCCTGACTGCCATTCTCAGGAAAGGTCGTCTTCCTGTCTTGTCTTCTGCGCTACAGAGACCTTACACCCCCTGCTGGCCTGTTAATCATGTGACGTTGTCGTTTTGTAACGCATGCTCAGCTGCCTCGAGCGTGGCCTCCATTCCCTTAGAATTATCCTCCCAGTTCTCTTCATCTGCATCTATAGATGGTCAAAGCCACGTCTGCACGGAGCCCATTGCTTCCCCGACGATGGAGTCGAGTGCTCACGACAGAAGACGTCCTCATACTCAGGTGAAAGGATGCCACCTTAGACAGAAGCAGGTGATTTCTCCTCCACCAGTGAAGAGCAAACTCCCTCAAACTCCCCAGTTCTCAAATGTCTCAGCTGTTTCTCCGTCAAGGCATGACAACCCAGCCTCTGCAAATACTCCATTCAGCTCTAGTTCCAAGTTACATGAGCTGAGGCCCAGCAACGTGCACACGCTCCTCAAGGACCATGGCGGTAATAACCTTAAAAATCTCATCTCCTCGCCCCCTGAACTTCAAACTGAGCCCCCTGTGACCCAGAACCGGACTCGCCGACCGAATTCTTCTCTCTCGAGGCTCCAGATGCTCTCCCAGCAACTAAGATCTTCGCCCGTCCCTTCATCTTCTCATTCTCACATCCCACCTTACTCTGCTCATGCAGACGCTGCACCCCCCCTCCCTCATTTAAAACAAACCCCCAAGGTTGGAGGGTGTGAGTCAGTGGGGAGCTGGCCTGAATTCAGAAGAGCCACACCTGCTAAAGCTGCTCATAAAACCCAATGCCTGTCTCCATCTCGATACAAACCCATTATCCTTTCTGGGTGGCCGTCACCCGCCACTTCCCCCACACCCACACCCTCCCCTGCACCCCCAGTCAGAGACTTCACCCCGTCTCCTTCCCTGTCCCTGCGTTCCACGCCCTCGCCAAGGCCGGGGAGTGGAATTTCAGACTGCAGTGACAGGGAGGGTAAAAAACGAAAGGTACAGCATCTTCATTCTGTTTTGGTTTCTGTTTGTCTTTTGCCTCAGAGCTCATTGATCCGTTTACAGGCCGAGGTTAAGAAGAGATTTTCACATATTTTAAATGACTGTAAAACATCATTTAGTGTAGAATTGTGGCTCTGTAAAAAGATAAGCGAGAATAAAGTGAGCGCTCATTTAGAGATTAAAATTATTTAGAGCAAACAGTCACATGCAGATATACAGTTTTCTTATCCACAGGTGAGTGAAACTAAAATCATTACAGCCATGAGGCTCATGTTCAGTGACGTAAAATGGTTTTCAGTTCCGTTTGTGCTGCTGGGCAGCTCGGCTGCTTTGCATTACTAGCAGTCTCCGGCATTCTGATAAAGCTTACTCAAAGAAATTGAAACTGGCTGATGAATTTCAAGAGTTTATCTTTCAGAAACTGCAGAAACTTTCGATTCATCTGTATTTATTCAGTATTTTTTTCTTTAAACACCAGACACACAAGATTAAACTGAGCTACAAATCGCTCGCTGCGATCCCCACAAACACCATCCTGTTGGATCAACAAGTAAGTTTGCGTGTTTAACTCTAATCCCACTCGTACATTTTGTTGTCTTGTTACAACTCCTCGGAAAATGGTTTGAAGTCTCGAGAAAATTGCAACAGAATTGGCCAAAATTATTTGCATTTTATTATCTGCGTTAAAGTAAAGCAAGTTAGTTCAATTAAAATGTCTAAAGGGGTTTCAGAGTTTAAGTATCTCGGGGTCTTATTCAGGACTGAGAGAAAAATGGAGCGGGAGGTCAATAGGTGGATAGGTGTGGCGTCTGCAGTGAAGCGCATGCTGTACCGGTCTGTCGCGGTGAAGAGAGAGCTGAGTCAAAAGGCAAAGCTCTCACGTTCCTACCCTCGTCTATGGTCATGAGCTTTGGGTTGTGACCAAAAGAACGAGATCACGGACACAAGCGGTCGAAGTGAGTTTTCTCCGCAGGGTGTATGGGCTCTCCCTTAGAGATAGGGTGAGAAGCTTGATCATCCGGGAGGGACTCAGAGTAGAGCCGCTGCTTCTCCACATCGAGAGGAGCCAGTTGAGGTGGCTCGAGTATCTGGTTAGGATGCCTCCTGGACGCCTCCCTGGTGAGGTGTTCCGGGCACGTCCCAACGGGAGGAGACCCAGAGGAAGACCTAGAACACACTGGAGGGACTATGTTTCTCGGCTGGCCTGGGAATGCCTCGGGATTCCCCCAGAGGAGCTGGTCCAAGTGGCTGGGGAGAGGGAAGTCTGGGCCTCCCTACTTAAGCTGCGACCTGACTCAGATAAGCAGAAGAAAATGGATGGATTTCAGAGTGCCATGGAAAAACATAAAAAAAGTTTTTTTTGAAGCCATTTGGACATCTTTGCTTTATTACCATATTATGAAAGATTTGTGTCGAAACTTCGAAGCTTCTTGCACCTGTCACCTGTTAGTTGCCGGCACCCTCCCATTGTGGTGGCTTCAAGCTCTTCATTACGGAGGTGTCCGTTTTAATTCTTTTGAATTTAGGTCAAAACATGTGACCAGATTAAATCTCGGCTGATAGACATGGTTTTACTTTAATTTTTAAAAAGGCCATACTTCTCCCTCCTTCTGCTCTACAGTAGTTTATAGAAACGAGGTATAAGAAGATTAGCTAAGAAACCAAAGGCAGTGCAAACACAACATCCCTGGACAGATTTTCATGAAAGTCTCAGAGTGTAATCACTGGATGTACATCTACAACTGAATAACTTTTAGAGTCAATTTAATTTAAGCTGTCCACCACAGCTAATCCATGAACTGTGTTAGGTCATCTGAATCAAAAAGATTGAGTGAAATGTGTCACAAAACTTAACTTTAAAGTTTTATGTCCATTTGTTTCTCTCAATGATTTTGAGTTGCTCTCGGCCTTCACTTTTTTTTGATTCAGAGCTCAGTTCTGTGGTTTGGGTGGAAAACTGGTGGTTAAAGTTGCTCCAAGTCAGCCTCAAGCTCTTTTTGATGTCCCTCCTCATGTTTTTCCCACAATCTGCACAAACTTTAATCATCGTCTTCTTTCAGCTTCACGTCCTTGAGTCTTCTGTAAAGTTTTATGACTGTGATCTTTCTGATTAGATTTTTTTGTTAAAAAGCAACAACATAAACAACAACAAAAACCCCAAGATTTTTGATGCTCTCAGACAGCGCTCTTGCTTTCAACATTTTTTTTTTGGGAAAACATCTAGAAATTCAAACCCAGTTAAACCATCAATATGTCTGGTGACGTCAACATAAGATTCCCTTAAACGACCGCACATATAAATGAATGTTAGGGAATTAAATTCAATTTAGTTTATTTATCCCTTATAGTGTAAATTGATGACAAGTCACCAGTGAGCACCAGAAAAAGAAACAAATCCTTATCATAAATCTAGATTCTGTTTTAAATACAGTCATGGTCAGGTCAGTTTTTATTATATTAATGCATTTACATATAAGATGCCAGTTACTGTAGTTACTGAAGCCAGAAAAATGTGATGAATCTTCACTTAGTCCAAATCTTTCATCCTGAGCAGCATGTTAGTGACATTGGAAATGGAACAACTCCCGTTTAACACGAAGAAACCTCCAGGAGATCCAGAACCAGGCTCAGGATGAGCAGCCATCTTCTCTGACTGGTTGGAGTCTGAGAGGATAGAGACAGACAAACACAGAAAGACTGGTCCAAATGTACTTTCTATGGGAAGAAAAACAAAGAAATACACAACTTATTACCAGGAATAATTGTAACAAACATGGAGGGCAGGAGCGTGAGACTGACATGTGGTCACTTTGACCTCCAGAAGTCTAAACCTAAAGCAATTAAGGGATAGCTCAGAAAACCAAAGTCAACCCTAACTACAGGATTTATGCAAAAGGAAAACGTTAGTCTGAAAAGTAGACGGTGTCAGCCTCACCGACAGAACTGGAACACTTAAAATCACATATAAATGATCAAAGCTTTGAAACCAAGATTATATCAAGTCAAATCAGGCTCAGAGAAAGTTGGAAACAAGGCTCTTAAAATAGGCACATTTTTACATTTATGTAAGATTAAGCATCAGCCATGTATTTTTTGTTATAAGTATAATGAAAATACTGATTTAAGATGCAAGCTGGTATAAAGGGCTCTTACATCTTCACCTTTGCTTTTTTACAGTTGCACGTGTCTTTTACCTGAGTGATGTCGGACACGAAAAGTGTGCAACAAAAACACAGATTTTCTACAACAATAACACATCGGAAGTCTTAAATGTCCAAAGCCAACAACAACAACAACAACGTCAAACCAGGCTTGAAAAGAATTGAAAGCATGGCATGTTGGTGCAGTGTTCAATTCAGTTTATACTGTACCCTTTTTTATCGCGGAGGACCCGTACCCTGAAAACCCGTGATAAGTGAAAACCGCAAAGTAGGAATGGGCGTTTTAAATCATTCCAGCACTCTTGAAATATTCTAAACAATATTTCTAAACCCTAAATGTTCTAAAAAGATCACAGCATGTCATGATTTCCGTTTTCTCTGCCTCCGACTGCTCTCTTCCACCTGCCAGCGCTCTCTGCCATGCCCACTTCTCTGCTGCAGGACGGAGGCATGACACGCTGCAGGAGGAAGCTTCTCTTGCAAGCTGCAGCAGGTGCTAAATAATTTCAAAAATAATTTAGTTTAAATAAAAAATAAAAATCCATGCAGATCACGTGGCTCATCCATCAATCATTGATAATTATCAATCATCAGTGATTATACCATTCTTATCAGAACTCCCACAGTGCCTCTGGAGTGTCCTTGGACACGCTCACGGTCCTTGTCATCTCCTGTGGAATGTCTGGGTCACTATGTGCCTATGTGCAGGGTGCTTTTTTCAATTTCAGGCTATCTTTACTCGGCCAAGGAATAGCTGTGTCTGTTATGAAGTTCTTTTTACCTCCACATCCTATATATGTTGTTACTTTCATTACTTTTTTGTCTGTCCCTTAACCCCCACCACCTGCTCCCCCAGGCGCCCTAGACAGCATCTCTCTGCTCCACACAGAGGGCTGCGGTAGCTCGGTGGTCTTTGGTTGTGTCAGGAAGGAAATCCGGAGCAAAAATAATTTCCAAGTCTTCGTGCCACTTAGTTCGCTGTGGCAACCCCTGAAGAAGGGAGCAGCCGAAAGGGGGAGGAAAAAAAAACAGTATTTCATATATTATTTACAAAGCACCAAGTCACAATAGAATTCATCACAGGGCACTAGAATGTACAGTAATGATCCTGTATGATGAATTTTACTTGAAAGATGTTGGAAAAAAGTAACTGAAATATTTGAATTTATCGTGCCACTTGAAGAAAACGACAGTCATGGTGGTGAGCTGGATCTTTACTGTGTATATTTGCAGGCGATTGATGATCAGGTTGAACAGAATCACTGCAGCTCCCTGGATAGACCTGTTACTGACACACACTCAGAGGTACTGCTGCTGCACGCACGGCCGCACGTTCGTATGTGACGACTTCACACCGACAAATGAATAATTCTGTTGTTTCCACAGATGTGCTCACCTGCTGAGCTGCGGCAAAAGTCAGATCAGCTGTATGCAGAGATTGATGAAATATTGGTAAACTCCATTCCTGAAGTGAGTTAAACCGTATATGTAGACTTGCACACATAAAAATGTTGATGCTTATTGTTAAAAATGGATTTTGTAAGCTAATTTTTGCAACTTTTTCTTCAAACTATTATGTGGACGGAAGACCTCAAAGTCACCGAATACCAATGCTGGTTTTCAGGTAAAATTAAACATGATGTGCATTATTATTTCATGCTCACAAACAAACAAACAAACAACAACAAAGGAAAAACACTGCCTCTACTCTGCACACGTGAACATTTAAAATATTAAAGCAAGGACGATGACTAACTGTTTCAGTCCTAATGGTTAATTATTCTATACGTACAAGTGCTTGGACATTATTCACACATGGAAATATTTTTTGTTTTGTAGTCAGAACATTCTTGGTTCACAGCACGCAAAGAATCAAAATGTTTGTTCATTATTTATCAAAGGGGATGACCTCTTGCAGTGTTCAGAAGAAACAAGGGTGGTTTAAAGTGGCATCCAAGAGATGCTGCAAATCTCATCCAAGTTCAAGAGCTGACTGATAAAATGTGTGAATTTTAATAATTAACGAAGAAAACAATTTAAAAGTATGTAAAAAGTAAAAGAGCAACAAGGGCAGCTTCATATTATCTAAATAATCCATGCAACATTTACACCCAGAGCTTGTTTTCAAGCCTGTTTTCAATGAATATCTTTGAAATATTAAACGTTTGAAATTTAAATCATATTCTAAGATAAAAAAAAAATGCAATTTCTCTTTAAGATTTTTTTTTTTCGTCTCTCTTTCAGCACAACTCTTCATTGTTAAAATCCCTGGGGCGTGAAACCAAATATGTGAGTAGAAGTCAGACAGTTTGTTTGTGCCCTATTTTCTGAGCTCTCAAAGGAAACCCTGTAAGAACCTGCTGCTGTCACTTTTATCACCTCAGCTCTCATGTAACGTCACTTCACACAAAATTAGTCACTGCTTTGGAAATGTGAAGTCAGCGTTTTATTTTTATTGCTGTACGATGAAAGTCTCTTTTTCAACTGAGACTTTACACATGCAAAAATATAAAAATGACTAAAACTTAAATTTTGAGCCGAGAGACGAAACGTTTCTACATTTTTTTGTTGTTTTGCTTTGTTTTGTTTTTTTTGAATGTCCAGAGGACCAGATTTAACTTTTTTCGATTTTTCTACCTGGATTATTGAGCATGCATCAGGATATGTTAAATTTTGAGCATTAAAACAAAAGTAGTGATGCACCAACAGTTCATGCTCAATAATCCAGGTACAAATTCAACAATGTTTAGTCAGGTCCTCTGAACGGTTTATTTATTTATTTATTTATTTTTTGTTGCTGAGATGTTTCGTCCTTCATCCAAAGGACTTCTTCAGTCTGAGAAG